AAAAAACAAAAAAAAAGACAACACAATAGCTGCCGTGTCTTATCCTCAATAAAGTATTAGATATAAATTAAACCGAGGAAATCCTGTTTTTTAACGGGCCCCATTTTTTGATATGGGCCTCATTTTTGTTTTTATTGAATGATACTATTTTCTCTAGTGCTTCATAGTTTAATAGAAGATTTTGAACAAATGAAAGTGAAATCTTCCCTTTTTCTCTACATTTAAAAAGTGCATATTTGTACATAAGGATAATGAAATTTATTAGGCAATTATCAACCCCTAAAATAACATTGTAGATGTTTAATGTTGGCAATTCAATGTTGAGTTGATGTAACCAATCACGCAATTGAAAATAGAGATTCCTTGAAACTCTACACTGAATGAATAAATGCTCCATTGTTTCAAGGTTTGAATGGCAAAACGAACAATGAGGATGATTTACCTTGAACTTGTTCATCCTCATTGTTTGGCAAATAAGAGTTGATTAAAAGAAAAGAACTACCTTGAATTTCTACTAATGCGATAACAAATCTTCCTTGGGAATCGATTATTTTGTCTCTAATTACGTAATTTAACTTACTTCCTAACAYAATAGCCGTTCCTTTACTCCTTGGYGTTCCGTGCGACATTAAAAGTTCATTCCTAGTTCTCAGAGACCATTCCTTTTCTGTTTCTTTGGTACTGTGTGTTTCTTGCAAAAATGAGATACCGTACTCACTATTGTGTTTTGTAAGCCAATTGAAAATTTTTCTATTCTTTTTATATTCCCTGCATGAGGCCACGGACATTAATTGACAGTATGGAAAAATTATAAACATTCATTTTAAGTTACACGAAAAAAGTAATRAAACAGGAATATTAATGACACGGAGCTATGCAACATCAAGATCTCGCTAAACAATTGACAAATAACAAACAAAGATACTACATAAAGATTAATTTGTGCTTGCACATRAATGGGCTTTTGCATTTGTTTATCTTAGCCGTATTTTATAAGGCTCTAAGAGAAATACTCAAAATCTTTCCTTTAAAATAAAACTTAATTCAGAAACAACATCCCTAAAAGTGGTGATATAAATTCTATTTACTGAATCATCCTAAATTTAAAGTCCTTAACTTAAGAGTATAAACAGCAACATAACATACTATTGATATTTGGATTCCGAGTAAAGTTCATTATACCTTATGGTGCGTTGAAGCTAAATAGATTCGTTTGTCCTGGAAGATACAACTGCCYATCKATATATAATCTATCAGGCTCTGCTTTGYTAAATCGGGCCTTCATACCACGTCTTTTGGCTTCTTTAAGAGCCCCCATTAACTTTTTACGCTCGTCCAAAATTTCTTTGGGAAGGTCTTGGTAAATAACGAAGGGGGTATTCTTTAGGAGCTTCGCCTGTCGAAGAATCTTTTCAACGTCTTGGTAGCGTAGAAACCTTGCGATAATTGTTCTTGGCGCATCTTGTTTTTTTCTACCATTTCTGTGTACTCGCTGGAATTCTATAGGGCTACTTTCAATCTCCAGATGATTGTCGATAAAGTTGAGTAGAACCTTTTCGGTGTCTTCGTCATCTAGTTCTGGAATGCCAATAAATTTAAGATTTTCTCGTCTTGAATATGCTTCTGCGTACAATAATTTCGTTTTAAGRTTGTTCAGCTCAGACTTTRTTTCTTCCTGGAATCCRTAATATTCAAATTCGTCTCTTTTCCTGTCGTTTTTGAGCTGTTGAATTTCGTTGTTCATCGTTTCAAGACTTTTGTCCATAACCTGCTGCTCCTGTTTTATTTCTTTGACATTCTCTTCAACTTTCTCTATTTTTTGCTCGAGAGCTTTAATTGATCCAGCAACGTTGTGTATAGTTTCTTCTATTGACTTCAGTCTGTCTAACTTTGATGTTATATCGTCCAACTTAGCAGCAACATGGCCGGCCATATCGAGGGCTTGGAATACCTCGTCGTCAGAGCACTCCTTTTCCTTAGCTTTCTTTTCAAGCGGAGAGGTTATTGAGATGCTAGAAGAGCTTGAGTTAGTTTTCTTCTTTCGTTTGGAGTGATTCTTGGATGATTTCATTTAAAAAATGTTAGGGTTATATGAGTTTTCTCTCGGAGCTCAAATTCGAGCGTCTTACTCGGTAGCCATTCGAGCCCAGCTCAAAAAAAACGACTTATAAAACTCCAACACAAATTAACATGAATTACAGTGAGATAAATGACGAAAAATGACAAATAAGGTAACTGCTGAGTTTAGTCCCTATTAAGCATGCGCAATTTACTGCAACACAGAACATTTTGAATAATTATCCATCCCACATGGAAAGCAAGCCATCTGTTGCATAAGCGAGTTCTGTTATCCGTCTTTGATTGCTTCAAAACCTAGTGAAGGTCTATGATGCGACACTAAAACTGAGACCTTTGCTAGTGTTGGGTTGTCTCAATGGTGACGACCGTGTTGTAAATCTGATACAACACTAGTGGTTGTATCAGATTTACAAGGTCAATCACCTGATTAAATGGTCAGCCCTTATTGGAGCAATAGCTTATGCATTATTAATAAGTTTTATAATGTGGTATATATATTATTAGGTCAACAGAAGGATGTGATCAACCAGTTGCTCAAGAATGCAAGCTTATGTTCATTGATGAAATATTCAAAATTGAACCACCTCCAGGTGCGAAATATAGCATTTTCATTACTTGCAAGAGCCTGATGTTTTATTCATCATCATCATCACGTCAAGCTATTGTTGCTTTGCTGTATAGGGATCTAGCGGGCGCGTAGCGTGGGCTATTTGGCTAGTACGCACATGTCAGGGACCACGAAACATATTTTAAATTGGGGGTTACAACGAGCGCCGGATAGTCTCCTTTGCAGCCTCCCTCTTTTGTTGGACTTCCTGTCCCTCCCAAAAGCACTTCTTTTGGGAGGGACAGGAAGCCCGACAAAAGGTTAGGCTGCGAAAGAGACTAGGAAATGCAATTTCAAGAGTTTTGAGGGGCATCGAGAAATTTTATAAAAAAAATCCCGAAGATTTTAATCTTTCCTTGCCACTAGTACGCACGTGCGTATATGCGTAAAGGACGCTACGCGACTGTGTAGTACATCCAGTATCCAATKTAGGGCCGTGGGATGGCCTCCACAGTATAAGGTCTGCAGCCCATTGATAACAGCATTGTTGATTTATTCTAATGCGATCAGACTTTGATAAAGACGGACAACCTGTAACGTCCAATGGTGTGGATGACCCTGTCAAACGTCAAAACAAACCAGACTGTCGCTTCTGTAAAGATGATAAAACAAAGAAATGCAAGCACTGTGCTTGTCATGAGGTACGTATTATTTTAATGATATTAGTTAATAAGTAATTTAGTTTTAAGTGGAATGGAAGGGTACGCAGGTATCGGATATCATTCCTCTTGTGTTTGCATGCTCTTTTGTGTATACTCTTGCACTTGCGTATTTAACTACACGACCATCTACAGAGTTTATATTCACCACAACATTTAGAATGTCTAGTAAGGAAACAAGAGATCGCCTTTGTCCAGGTTGCAAAACATCTAAGTCTCTAATGCATTTCATTTGAAAAACTTGAGCTCTTTGAAATGGTCATGTAGGAGCTCTTTACGCAGTAAAGACTAATTCCATTGAGACCTACATGCATCCCTCACAACAAAACAATAGCAAAGAGAAAACAATTGACAATCCATTGTTTTAATACCTTTAATCACTGAATGTTATAACTTTCTGTTTGTTTCAGTGTGGAGGAAAAGAAAATCCAGATAAGCAGTTGTTGTGTGATGAATGTGATCTTGCTTATCACATTTACTGTCTTGATCCACCACTGGAAAAAATACCAGAAGATGACGACTGGTATTGCCCTCTTTGTAAAAATGACACATCCGAGGTATTACTCAAGTCCATGTTCAACATGCAATGTTTTCAAACTCACAATTATGAGTAGCCCTTCAAGGTTTTGCAAGACTGATCTTATCCAATAGGTTTCCTACCTCTTAGTTAAACAAAAGAAAACAATAGGATTTAGGAACGAGGAAACAATGAGCATTGTTTTATTCCTACAATCACAGTCACAAGAGATCTTACAAACTCGTGAAGGATAACAGACAATTATAATAGCGTCATTTGATTGGCTTATTGCAGCAAAGGTAGCGAAATGTGCGTGTAAGACTACGTTCACACGGGGCCGGTCAAGTTTGAGGACGTCTACATTTCGGTACGGATTGAAACAGTGTTCACACGGATCCGTTCATACTTCGAAGTGACCCGTCCTCAAAGTCCATCGGCTTTTTAGCCGGCCCCAAACCTGAACACTTTGCCAGCCTCAGATGAGACCAGTTCCAGAGTTCCAGTGTAAACGGCGCCTAAACTAGTAACGGTTCCGAACGGAAACGGCCCCGTCTGAACGGGACTAAATGTGTTGTACACTGACCAAAACGTCTGTTAAGAAATCGTAATTAAAAAATCAGAGTCGACTATTGATAACGTTTCATGATGGAACTGGCTTCAACCTTCAAAGTAAAGAATGTTGTTCTCTTTTCAGTCAAGTTATTACTCAATGAATAAGTCGCAAAATGTGAAGTGTCTGCATGGGGGTGTCTGCATACAACATTGATGTCCAAATCCCAATAAAAGTCAATCCAGGGTTAACTCCATAGGTCTTTTTAAGAGTTCTAATTTGGGTTAGCACAAATCAAGTTTGACATCTGTCTATCAATTTATCATCAGATTATTCAAGCCGGTGAGAAACTAAGGGGAAGCAAGAAAAAGGCCAAAATGGTTTCTGCTAACTCATCGTCCAATAGAGACTGGGGTAAGGTATGTAACGAGTGACAATTACTTTACCCAACAAGGGGAGGGACTTCCAAACCAGAAAACGACAAACTAGGCTCAGGTCCTCTCCCTTCTAGTGACACCAGTAGATGTACCTCCAGTTGATTACTTAGCCTTGTGTAATTATTCAGGGCATGGCATGTGTCGGACGTACCAAGATCTGCACCATCGTCCCACCAAATCATTTTGGACCTATTCCTGGTGTTCCTGTAGGCTCTTTATGGAAGTTTAGAGTACAAGTAAGTGTTGGTACTTTATGGTGTTACTCAAGGCTCAATCTTGGGACCATTACTTTTTATACGCGACAAAACATCACAAATAGTCATATCTCCCTTTTATATCCTCACATTTACTTCACCTTGACACATTTATTAGTATCTAAACCTCCGCAGCCCCTCTTGGACGTCTTGTTCGACAATATCTCTCTGTTTCTATTCTATTCTCTCTTTCCCATTAGGTAAGTGAGTCCGGAATTCACAGGCCTCATGTCAGCGGAATACATGGTCGGGACTCAGAAGGATCCTATTCCATTGTGTTAGCTGGAGGCTACGAAGACGACGTGGTGAGCTAACAACTGGATAATTGCATATTTGTGTGTGACCAATGAGTCAGAATTCCAAAATCGGTTAATTCGTACGACTATGTCATAGCACAGATCACATATTAAAGAAAACCTCGCCGTTTTGGAGGATTTCAAAATATGTGGGCGCTTTCAAAAATATCGCAAGCGTGCTTGTTTTCGTGGAGCGTTCGTAAGCCCTTTTTATTTGAGACTGCGAAAATTTGGAAAGCGTACTTGCGTCTATAGGAAAACGGCGCCATAGAAGACTTAAAAGTAGGTCCTTTGCATGATTGCGTCGTTTTGCTAGCACGTATTTTCATTTTCTTTTTTTAATATCTTTTAATGATTAGTAGAACAACTGATGCGAATTATATTACCAAAACGAGCGGGCAAAGCACTCTGTTTTAAGTTGTATGTAACGCCATAGTGGCAAACCGCCGAATCTCCAGTGTAAATGAAAAATTCAATTTCAAGTAATGCAAGATATTTACATTTATTTTGTTTCAGGACAACGGAGAGGACTTCATATTCACTGGTAGCGGAGGTCGTGACTTATCTGGAAATAAGCGAACTGCTGAGCAGTCATGTGACCAGCAGCTAACAAAAATGAACAGGTACGGCCATTAAAGGCTTGTTGGTCGATCTTTTTAATGGGCTTCCGTTGGGAAGTGACCAGTTCTTCATTTTCTTCGTAAATTTTCTTCTTCGACATGCAACGTAAATCCTCCTCTATTAAACTGCTTAGCAATACTTAGCAAATTTTGAAATTCAGCTTTTGCCGATGTGGTCTTTCTTTTGTGTAAGTCTTATCTTACCGCAATGTCAATTAGGGGGATTTTATCTAATCTCCCACGGTATGAAATCCGGAAATTAAGAATCAGCTCTTAGGATGATCTCTCCTGGTCAAAAATGCATTCAAAGGTCTGTTGACAACATTCTCGTTGTTTTCAGGGCACTTGCAAGAAACTGCGCAGCCCCTCTTGATGACAAAAATGGCGGAGAAGCGAAAGACTGGAAAGAAGGAAGACCAGTCAGAGTGGTAAAATGAAACTTTTTTTTAGTTGTAAAATCGATTTAAACCGGTTGTAAAATCGATATATAATTGGTAATTTTACCTTACTAGGTCCGAAGTTGCAAGTTAGCAAAGCATTCAAAGTACGCACCAGAAGAAGGCAACCGATACGATGGCATCTATAAGGTCATAAGAACACCATATGTTATTGGTTGTTGTAAAGAAAGTACTTGAATTTGACATTAATCATAAGATTTCTTCTTTTGACCTTAAAGGTTGTAAAATATTGGCCAGAGAAAGGGAAATCAGGTTTTAAAGTCTGGAGATACCTTTTTAGACGAGATGACGAGGTTAGTAGTTCAGTTATAGGCGCTTTGGGCAAAATTCCGCGCAACAATATATCACRATGTTGTTAATCATACATGTAAATCATTTTTACTTCACATAGACACCGGCTCCATGGACAAAAGAAGGGAAAAAACTCATTGAATCGCTTGGAATAAAGATGGTGGTAAGTTAATGTTATAGTTTAAATTGATACTAATTTTGCGTTGTTGTTATGGTTGTATTTTTTTTCTCGTTATTCTCCTGCATTTTTAATATTCAAATGCTTTCCAGATACTATAGTTGAAAAAGATACTATAGTTGTTTTCAGAAACCCTTGAAATGCATTTTAGCAGATTTTAGCAAAAATCATTTCTTAGGGAATTAATCTATTTTTGGGTTGAGGTAATTTCATTTCCATTAAACTGAGTCGGAAAATAAACAGGTGGTTGAAGACGTTGAAATGTCCAATATTAATACTCGTAGGAAGCACTTGGAGAACATTTCTCATTTTTGGTGACAGGAACTTCAATTTAAAAGATAACTAAAGATTATTCGGTTGACATTTTGCCACTTGCTCCACTGAAATCGTTCTTTCTCACCCTCAAATATAATAGAGTACAAACATTAAAAGGATGACACACTTTGTGACTATTTATTACTAAATGGTGTTGAGTGGACAATTGATTTAGTAGAATTATACAGTCAGTCCTATTAACTTCGTTCACTTGTAAAGACATAAAGACAATAACAACGTCATTTGCATAAAACGGCTTTTTAGAATTCCCAGGAAGAATTTTAATCTCTAAACTTTAGATATATATAGTTGCTTAAATGTTATTGACATTGTAAAGAATGTTTGGTAATTTATGCTTGCATGTTCTTGCAAAGAATTAAAAATATGATGAATGCAAATGACTTTGTTGTTATCTTTACGTCTTTTCAACCGAACAACGTTTTTAGACATTAAAATTCTTTAATTTTTTAAAATTCTTTATTTCACAGTAAAACTAGTTGAATTTAGAACTGTCGTAGTCTTATCTAAACATTGTATTTAGTATCCAGAAGGATTCTTGGAGGCACAAGCGAAGAAAGAAGAAGAAAAAGCAGACAAATTGAAAGGAAAAGGAAAAAGAAAACGCGAAAAAGGTATACATAGCCTTTGCTGATTATTATAAGTGATGTTTGCATTAGATCTGCCAGACATTTTGACAAAGATAAAGCAGTTTGCTAATAAAGAAGTTCTTGCAACAACTTCTCGTGTAGATACGTCCAGAGGAAGTCCATTATCAAAATCTCCAAGTAAGAAGATAAAAGTGCACGCGATAACAGCAGAAACGAAAACATTAATAAACACAGATGCCGAAAATACAAAGATATGGAAAGACTTAGTTGATGACAACACTTTAAATTATCAAGTAAGTGCAAKAGAGCTTTTCATGGCGATAAGTTAATTATTTTATTTCTCTTCTCTTCCTATTTCAACAACGGCCGTCTTTTTTTAAAGAATTAACATGCAAGAGGTACTGTTTAGTTGTTTTTTTGTGAGCTGGTCGAAATGGGAAGACTAACTGATATTCTATCAAACTCTCAAACTTCACAATAATCTGAATTTGGTCAATTTAATGCGCGTCAGGTCTGATTTACATAATTGGCGGGAAAGCGCAATCGCGCACAAAGTGAGTGCAGAGTGCMGTGCGTTAATAAACAAGAAATTTCGTTGTAATTGTAATATCTTTAAAACTCAAATAATAAGCAATGAATTTGTAATATGTTGAATATCATTTTTTTAGAAATTTCACCAAAAAGTAGAAGAAACATTTTCTTGTATATGTTGTCAAGAGCTCGTGTTTGAGCCGATTACCACAACTTGTCTTCACAATGTTTGCAAGGTTAGTGATCAGTAGATTGTCGGTAGGTCTTCGACAAAATCCGAATGTTATCGGAGAGAGTCGGACTTAATTCRTGATGTTCGACAAACACCGAACTTTTCTGGAAATGCTGTTGAGTAAATTCGAGAAGTCCTCGGTATCSTAACATAGATTTATTTTCTCTTTCAGGGATGCTTGCAACGATCATTYAAAGCTGAAATATTCASTTGYCCGGCCTGTAGACAGGATTTGGGCAAAAATTATAAACTCGATGTAAATAAAGCTCTAAGTAATATTCTCAACAAATTGTTTCCAGGATACTCTAAAGGTCGATGAAACAATTTATTCAATAACTCCTTCCATACATATATTAGRAAATATTTCAAATATATATATATAAATATCAACTTTTTTATCTAAAAAAGACATGTTTTGTCGAGAGTGTTCCGGCTTTTATAAAGCCACACAACTTGAACACTRTTCATAGCAAATTGCTTTTTAATCGTATAGATAGAAAATTRTATGCTTATTTTGYCCCAGCTGAATTGTGAATTTGATTAACTGTTATTTCTTTCGCATATATTTTTGTGCAATGTAATAAACTTAAATTCTATTTACCTATGATGTGTTTTTCGGTATTCTCTTGTCGCAAATATTGGTTGAACAATTTCTAACCCCTTTTGTTCATAACTTGAAAATCTCTTGGGAATTTCTAAGAGTAATTTCTGCAAACTCCTTTGGGGTTAAAAATGCGTGGATTGATATGAGGGGTTTCATATCGCGGCACTCCTTAGTATCATTCCGAAGTAATTTAAATGAAATTACAGTTACAAGAAACAAAAGGCCTGAGTAATTTGCRCTGACTTGGGAAACGCAGTTGCTGTGTTTGAAGTTTTAATAATGATCTTAGTGGAAATCTGAAAAATATGCTAAAATAAAAATACTCGATAGAAATCTGTCATCAAGACAATAGAGTATACATTAAAATTTTGTTCTTGAMATGGCTATCAATTATAAGACCCTAAAGTGAGTTAACAATCGTCAGTCGATATACCTAAAGACTCATTTTGGAATTCCCCTCCAAATTRCTAATGATTCAATGTTGAACAGCGTGCGCAGCTGGAGAAACTTATCTGCACATTAGAATGACAGTGCTAAAAGACCTTAATAACTATCCAAACAAACTGTTTTTTCATTAGAAATGCTCTAACTAAAAGGCATTCTCAACATGACAATGAAGTGTTTTCTTGGTCAACTCCAACGCGCAGTTTTTAATTGATGCCAATTTTAAAATACCAAACCCGCTGGTATGGGTTCTATAATGTTTTTTAAATGAACGCTTATTTCAAATCTTGTGTAAATCAGCAGTTAGTCTTTAGCTTTCATCTTGTTTTAATTTCTTATTTTTATCATAYTTTTGCCTTGGACATTACATGTAAGTTCGCCTTGCTTCGGAGTTACAGCGCAGCTTGTCGTCGTGATGTTAAAACGCCAAGGCCTGCGTATCGTGACGTTCCAGTAGAAGACTATAGTCATATGTAAACGGAATTTATACCGTCGGAGCATTTTTGACAAGTTTTCCGAAAAGAGACTTAACTTAACTAACTTTATTCATCACTTTGATCACAAAGTCGTCACAAATTGCCAAGATTATATCTGACGGCATTTCCATGGAGCTTTTGTGTAAACAACTTGGAATTACAATGCAAATCCCGACTGCGTCGCAAAACCCGCCTACCATAGGTGATCATATTTGAATGTCTCGTCTGCGTCAATAGGTTGAACAGTTTGTTTTAAGTATTCATTGGGTGCTAGCAAGGACATACATGACTACAAATGAACATGTTGTGCTCGTCCGCTCATTGTCAACAACTTGYTCATGTTTTTGGTATTTTCTTCATTTTCATCATAAAGACATCAATTTATGGTAAGACGTTTTTTTATCACTGTAAAAAATCCCTTTTTTGCTAAAAAATACTAATCATAGTAAAGATATATTTGGGATGAACCTAGGAAGGAGGAATTTCCACTATTATCATTATTATTATTATTTTTAACTGATCGTTTTGAATTGACTGAATGGTTGGCTTTCTAATGACAGGATGTTGCAGTATCGAGCTCTTATAAAGGAAATATAGAAAAAAACTGTCTTCGTCTAGGATGTAACATTTTTTTCACTTCACTATTAATATTATTTTTTTAACTGATCGTTTTGAATTGACTGAATTAGTCGGCTTTCTAGCTAATCAGTCTAATTACAGATGTTGCAGTATCGAGCTCATATGAGGGCAATATACAGAACTGAAAAATAAATGTCGTCTAGGATGTAACATTTGGGAATTTAAGGGAAGGTTGCATGTGATACTATAGGAAGCCCATTAGCCCAGTGGCTATACGACTGTTGTCAAAACTGATACGCTTCCTTAACTATGTAATAGCAAGACTGTTCTGGGTTTTGGTGGACTGCTGGAGCGGCTTTATTATGCGTCTTCACTGTTAATTTGTGTTCAACTCAACTGAGCTCTACATCTTTTTCACTCTAGTTTTAACGTGATTACATACGAGGAATATTGTACATTTTCCTCTGTTTTTCGGTAATTATCCCAAATCCCTAATTATATATATTTACCCAACTTGGCTCCAGGAGAAGAATTCCTATTGGTTACAATTGTATAATGGTGGCAGGCTCACGTAGGATAGCAATGACTAATGAACGCTATGCAAACTCTTCGAAGAGCAAGAACTCTAAAGAAACAAGCCCACCCTACTTGAATCTTACTTCTGAAGACAAATATTATAACATTCGATAGAAAATGATTTTTTCCATATCGTGGTTTGAAGGTTAATATTRRAWRATGAATAAMGGTTCAAAATTGACTGGGAATAATATTAAACTCCTAAGGAAAAATGAAAAATGAAAAAAATCTAAAATATCATAAAGAATAATGAGTAATAGCAAAAATATACACAATGAATAACGGGGAAAATTAAGACATGAATAAATATAATTGGCATGTACTAAATATTCACCTTCAGACCCCGTTGTTTATATAGATATCCAGCAATAAATCGAATACGGCTAAATAGCTCTGAAATTCCTKCTAATCATCAAGAATCATGAACAAATGATATCTATAAATAATACTTAACTTGAAATGATYGATAGATACTTTTTAAACAGAGACTAAAAGTCTACGGGATAGGAAGATATTGAGGAAACGAAAAACCTTTGCATATAAGATGTATACTTAGTATGATTGCGACAAGCAAAACTAAGGAWTATATTCATGCAGTGACAGCATTTTGTCAAAACAACGTTTTCGTGATTGAAAGTAATTAAATATTATCGGATATTTTCCGCTTTTACAACTATAACAGCAACGATTAATGATTCTTAATACTTCCAGGCTGTGTCTTTCATCATTTTGCACGTGGATCCGATTTTGTCGTGTACCTATCTCTGATCCTCTTCCAGTCTCATTCTAACTTGAATACAATTTCAWTATGTTTTTTCTCTCATTCTATGCTTTTAATTCCTCTTAGCACTGCAATGCGGCCAGTCATACAATGGATCCTCAGACGTGAATTTCACAAGTCCTGGTTGGCCAAATACATATACCATCAACCTGGATTGCCAGTGGAAAATAGCATTTCGACCTAAAACCTACATAAAGCTTGTGATCACTGATTTTAATCTACAAACGACGGGCTGTAATGATTATCTCTCAATTGAACCATCAAATGGAGATATTTTCATCGGATGCGGGGGTAAGGAAACAGCACCCATGGTGTTTTACACTTCGGAAAACTATACAACAGTTACCTTTATATCAGATGGAGTAACWAGTAGCTCATCGCGTGGTTTTAGAGCCGAGGTTCACGTCCTTCAAGGTAAGACTTCAAGTGATTTCCATTCGACGTTTACTCACAAGTGTCCATCTCGTGAAAAGACCTGTCACTATCAGATGTTGAAAATGATTACCTGGCAACCAATAGACCTTACCAAAGCGGGTATCATGTTTGCTGCAGCCCTCAAATGAACATGAGTGCAGAGTAATATCAAAATTATGACTTTTTTCCCCAGCAAATTTTTTTTTTGACATTGCAAAGTGATAAAAAAGCTCAAAAATGACAAGTTTTTCGGTTGTTGMCCGATTTTGCATCGCTTTGGTGTAAAACTACAGGCTCCTCGCGCAACTTGTTGCCATAACTGCGAAAAGGATTATACCGAAGCGTGCGAATACGACACGGAACCTGATAGTTTAAAATCCACGAATTTTTTTTTAGCTGCAGAGACAAGGATACAAGGTTTTAGTAGACAATGTTTTGGTAACAAGAATTTTACTCCTGTCATGACCATCTGYTCTGAAATATATAGAAAATGAATTTATCCGCTAGTCAGGCTCCACACGCTCTATGTGCTCGACTAGTTTGATTGGATAAAAGCCATCTGATGGTCAGACCTATATCACCGAGATAGACACTTCTAGTTATATCGTTGTACTAAATGGATTATGTGGATTCCTCTTGGGTTTGACTACATGACCAAGAAATAAGCTATAGTGCGGGCATTTTGAATGAATGAACAAGAGCAACTAAAAATAAGACTGATTTTATGAAGAAGTACAATAAAATACCAGGAAACCATAGTTTGGTGCATACTTATAAATAGCCTAATGATAATTATCACTTAGCATCAATACAAATAACACTTTGTCCTTCTTATTCAAGCGATGTGCCCACAAAATCATCTCAGTGGGTTATCAGGAAACTTCACCAGTCCAAACTTTCCAGACCACTATCCTTTCAAACTCCAATGCATCTACAACATCACGGCACCACAGGGATACCGCATTGAGATTGAATTTTCAGTCCTCGACCTCGAGTATCATGTAAACTGTACAGCGGATTACCTTCTTGTTGAAACTGTTGCTGGATGGTTTCAATATTGCGGGAGATTCACTCCACCCATGCCATATATGGTATCAAAGGGTGCAAATATGGTAGTGGTGTTTGTATCCAACGAGAAAAATGTGTATCAAGGGTTTAAGGGCCATTATAAAGCAGTTCCATTGGCTGTGACCTCAACTGCTTCTCCTATACAGCCCACAAAGACAATGTCTGTAATGCCTTCCAGTACAGTCGTAACACCACCTCCTGAAATGCCAGGTACTTTTTGTTCATCAGTTTGTGGTTTGATTTTTCTTATTTATTACTTTRCTTTTTCTCTCAGTTTTTTAAAGAAACTGTTAAAAGCCCTGTTTCTAGTTGCCACTGGAAAAAAATCTCGTGCCGGCAACCTTGTAAATATGACGGGAATACGATGTAAATACGATATACGGGATATTTACGTACATTTCCCATCATATTTACAGGGTTCAAAGCGCGCGATGTTTTCCAGTGTGCTTGCCTGTTTTTTGTGTTTTTTGTTTTTGTTTTTTTTGCACATGCGTTGAATCCTTGTTGTCAGGGCAGGAGTGTTCGTTCGAATTCTCAGGGCCTGTTCGTGGYCAGGGCCTATTCGTGGTCAGGGCCTGTTCGTCATGATCACAGTTCTTGYTCGTGCACAGACAGGGACTGTTCACCGCCCTGTTCGTGCTTCTGCCCTGTTCSTGCTTGCTTCCTAACAAGTTTGCTTTTTCAGTCCCTGTTGACTTCTCAGTTGTTGATCGATAGATGGACTAATGATGATTCCGTGCCTTTTTTTCAGATTATTTGGTCGGTTCGTTCGTCCTTATGAAAAACAATTCAATGAAAGGACACACAATAAAGAAGCTGGTCACATCAAGCAATATCGCCTGCGTTATGTTATGCCAGCGGAATGCAAGGTGCAAATCAGTGACATACATGACTCTCCACAAGTCCTCAGGACATTGCATTTTACACGACACGGTTGGAACGCCTGACTCTTTAGAACAGCGAGATGATGCGGTGTTTTATCGAATAGTAGCCTAACGAGTTGTTGGGCGTTGCCTKTAGCTTTAAAGGCTTGCAGCTAAATTTCAAGCATGTTCGAAACTCAGGCGATTGTCGCGCGAACACATCATTTTTTTAGTACAAATATGAAAATACGTTCAAAACGCATAATTCAAAAGAAAATAAAAAAAATTCAAAACGCATAATTAATATCGGTCGTATGGTCGCATAGATTTCAATTCACAATTCACAGAAGCAAAAGAAGGCTTGATTTTTTTCCAAACAAAACCTTGATATAACTCAGCAAGACAGGAAAAATACGTCCAATCTTAAAAAAAATACTAAAAATACGTCTTATCGATCTTCACTGGCTTCCTGTCTTCGCACGTGTCAAGTTTAAACTCCTTCTTCTAACTTTCAAAGCTCTTCATGGCCTGGCTCCTATATATTTATGCTCAAGACATGCTTGTGAAATATCGTCCTTCTCGTTCTCTTCGTTCTCTTCGTTCGTCGTCTCACCTGTTAGTGTCTTCCAAGTCGTACAATCTTATGGTTTTCGTTCATTTAGTGTTGCTGGTCCTTTTCAATAGAACTCACTCCCATCTTCAGTCATAGACATTTCTACACTGGACAACTTTAACTTATAACGAATTGATCGTTTTCACCCATTCCCATGAGATTCAAAAGATAAAAGACCGGCGGCCATGTTGGAGGAATGAGCAATAGATACTAATGAGAAATCTTTTGTTAATGTTCCGCCAACATGACCGTTGTGACGTAAACTGAAAACGAAGGATAGTCTGGCTCTTGATGTGTCTACGTTTTTCTAATACAAACTTGAAATTTCAGACAAATGTTAGAATAAAACTGGCCCTATTAGAAGCATGAKATACTATAATTATACTGTTTTACTAGTGTCGAGAAATTTTATAACTAAGATGTCTAATGTAATAAAAACTAAACAAGAGTATTTTTTCACTAGCTCAAGTTTTTAATGAGAACGCAGCTGTTTCGGTCAGAACTCTGACCTTCCTCAGTGCGTTGTAACAAATGGTTTGCACGCGTAAGTTAACAGATCTTTGAAGACCAGAATAAGGTTTTTTTACTGCAGTGAGCTGAAACTTCGCATAGATGTGTAATAAATTAAGAACAACATATTGGGTGAGTTTGAATTCATTTTATTAAGATTTCCTACTTTTATTGAATTTTTCGTTTTTCCCCACAAGACCTTCAGAGAAAAGCCGGCAAGTGCAGTGCTTGGGCTACCTGTGTTTTATTCTGGTCTTCAAAGATCTGTTAACTTACGCGTGCAAACCATTTGTTACAACGCACTGAGGAAGGTCAGAGTTCTGACCGAAACGTCTGCGTTCTCATTAAAAACTTAAGCTAGTGAAAAAATACTCTTGTTTAGTTTTTATTATGACTCTTCCTAGCTGCAATTTTTAAATGTCTAATGTAAAGTAGTCCGAACTCTTACACTGCTTGAAGGTTGCTAAGTGTAAACGTATTTTTTCAATTCAGAATACATTAGTCACGCATATATATTCTAGAGCTTGATAAACAATAATGCAATAGAAGCAACAAAAACAAGGAAGGCAATAAACAGCAGAATCTTCTTCAAGGCATCACCCTGAAAGTTCTTAAGGCTTTGTCCCCTAACAGTTGCTCGAGGGAACGGCTCGTCTGGGACCTCTCGACCAAGAAACTCACAAAGCGGTTTTCATCCTTGTTTGATATTAAAAACCAACAGTTTGTCTTTGGGAATGACTTGCTCGACACGTTGGTTATGCCACTGGCATCGCTTGATGTAGATGAAAGAGGAACCAGGATGACGGCTTTCTAAAATAGCACTGTCGATGTGACGAAACACGAGTGATGTCTCTTTCGATAAAACAGATTGGTATAAATCGCAAACAACCAAGACTGAGTCAATGTTAAGTGCTCACTGAAGCTTTTAGCCCATACTTGTTCGTTGTCACGAACCGTTAGAATCACTTTAGCATCGGGGAAACAATCGTAAATATCTTCAAAAACGATAGATGCTGGRGTGTCTGTAACGGCATCGACATCTTTGAACATGGCATGAAAGTCRGGCTTTTTTCCATTCGTAAACATGTCATCCCACTCATCTAGGAACAACGTCATTTGTTCCCTGTCGTCATATGTTTTATCCTAATACTAGGATTCGTAACGCCTGTGCTAACGATGTGGTACCCGTCTTGGATACTCCAGCGCAAATAATCTTGCTCATGTTTGTTGCTGGGGGGACACTACTACATCTGTACCGAAGAGAGAGAACCGACAAAATTTACTAAATTTTGAGTCTTACAAACGTGCGAAGCATGCGAGGCATGGTGCGAGGCAGCGACGCATGGATTTTTTTAAGGGCTATATTATTAAAGNTCCCTGCTGAATATCAAATCCCTCCCCGGCTTTAAGTTTCTATGGTATATACAACCCTATGAATAACAAAGAAAACCTAGTGAATTGGAAACTAATGATATTTAGTTCCCGCACGGAAGGCCACGGTAAAAGTAGTATAGCCCCGTTGCAGTTGGACTTGGAGTCTCAGGAAGCCCAACACGAAAACGGATGCGAAGGAGACTAGTTTGGACTGAGAGAGTACCGAGACATAAACGGACAGTCAACGAGTTGCATTGTGGTACAAGGTGGACATATCAAATTACAACTCAAACACTTAATTTCTGCACCAGTGAGAAAATTTGATAGGATTTACATATACAATCCCCCGAACCCCCGATTCTACGGGCCAAGATATGGATAAACTTCGAACTAGGGTAAATAATAATAACTCTAATAAATGACCCTTAAAAAATCCATGCCTCCCACCCATGCCTCGCACCATGCCCTCGCACCATGCCTCGCATTATGTCTCGCATTCCTCGCTGCCTCGCACTTTTGTAAGACTCAAATTTGAGTAAATTTTGTCAGGTGTCTCTCTTCGGTACAGATGTAGTAGTGTTCTCCCAGCAACAAACATGAACAAGGTTATTTGCGCTGGAGTACCCAAGACGGGTACCACATCGTTAGCACAGGCGTTACGAATCCTAGGGTATAAAACGTATGACCACAGKGAACAAATGAYGTKKTTCCYARATGAGTGGGATGACATGTTTACGAATGGAAAAAAGCCTGACTTTCATGTCATGTTCAAAGATGTYGATGCYGTTACAGAYRYYCCAGCATCTATCGTTTTTGAAGATATTTACGATTGTTTCCCCGATGCTAAAGTGATTCTAACGGTTCGTGACAACGAACAAGTATGGGCTAAAAGCTTCAGTGAGCACTTAAATTTGTTTACGTCATGGTGGTTTGCGATTTATTCACAACTGTATTCTCAAAAGAGAAGTCGTATTTATCGACAGATCGACAGTGCTATTTTAGGTAGCCATCATCCTGGTTCCTCTTTCATCCACATCAAGCGATACCAGTGGCATAACCAACGTGTCGAGCAAGTCATTCCCAAAGACAAACTGTTGGTTTTTAATATCAAACAAGGATGGAAACCGCTTTGTGAGTTTCTTGGTCGAGAGGTCCCAGACGAGCCGTTCCCTCGAGCAAATGTTCAGGGAGCAGACGCTAAGAACTTTCAGGATGCTCTCTTAAAGAAGATTCTGCTGTTTATTGCATTCCTTGTTTTGTGTGTTTCAATTGTTATCTTGTTTACCAAGTTCTAGAATATGTATGCGTGACTAATGGTTTCTGAATTGAAGAAATGCGTTTACACTTAGTAAGCTTCAAGATCTCATCAGTGTAAGAGTTAGGACTACTTTACATAGACATTCTTAGCTAATGTTAGGAGCATTTAGTGATAAAATTTGTCGACACTAGTGAAACCGTATGATTATAGTATATCATGCTTCTAATAGGGCCAGTTTTATTCTAACAGTTGTCTTAAATTTCAAGTTTGTATTAGAAAAACGTAGACAAATTGTAAACAAAAGTTGCGTGATCTGACCTATCAAGGGCCAGACTGTTCGTTATAGAAAAACCGGAATTTCTTTGTTTTTTTTTTTTTTCGCTGGTAGTATTTGTCACCAATCTCTTTTCTTTTTCTTTTTTGGAGACTGAACTGCATTTTCCAGTTTTTTGTGCTGCTGAAAATGTTTTCCTCCTGTGCAGGACTTTGTTAGTTCGACATGACAAGTCCCTAACTTCGTAACCAAGCTAAACATTTATTATGCGAGTCTAGACGATGGAAGACCGTCCACACCGAGGCTTCTTGAGGTTGAAGGCAATTTGGCCAGCACGAGCACATCGGAGACTGAATATTAATATAAAAATTAGGTAACACCTAATAGCGGAGCTCCAATACCAATATAGAAGCTGAAAATGATTATCTAGTAC